AGACCACCCCCGTGGCTACCTCCATATCCACCGCGGCCGCCACCGAATCCACCACCTCCAAAACTGCCACCTCCGTGGCCACCTCCTCCGTAACCACCAAGGCCACCGCCTCCACCTGGAGTTGGTAATGCCCAGACGGCAGCTACAAGTAGCGATATATACACCTGGAACAGAAATACTGGTACTTCATCCTTACGGATCTTAGATTACAGATGTCATTAACTGTTTCCATGATGAGTTTCATTTAGATTACATTCTTTAGTTTATTTGCATATATTCACGCTAATTTTGTAAATCCTGGTAATAAAACTAGAAATAGTTGACATAATATTTGAAGAGATGGCAGGAGAATTTATTTTTGTTATTGGTCACTGAAGATGTGGAGAACAGACGTAGTCACGTTTAAAATGTTTCACCCACACGCAGACCATAGAATAAGTGCATTAATTTGTGTATGTGTAATTTAATTAGTCCCTGAATTTATGTATGTTTTTGTGTGTCTTTCAATAATAATAAAAAATTAAGCATTAGAATTGAAATTGATAGGATGTTGCATCTATTAAGACTGAGAAGTGAAATATATTCTGTAATGAACAAATTGTGGTACAGGGGCGTAAATTAACGTTCATCTAAGAAGTCCCGTGACGGACTTTAATATAATTTTATACAGTCATCGTCATTTCTCTTTTTCTTTCGTGCGAATGATGAACTACTAACTCACTGTTAGGAGAAAGTGAACGTCAATACCGGCAACGCACTAAGCCTGAGCCAGTTCTATCTACTTCCCGTCCTCACAACCTAGTAACTCGGGAGTCATTCTAATATTATTCCCCATATGATTTTTTTTGTCTTTGAAATGGAGGCTTTCCTGGAAAATTCCTTACTAGAATTCTGTAAACATTTCTTATCTCCCAGTCTGAATTTCACGCCTGTACCAACGCAACTTCGTTGATTTGCGCAGCAATTCTGAGTGATCTGAATATGCATAAGTCACGAAGTTACTCGGTTTGTACATAAGTAGACTGTAACCTTAATATTTTCATGACACTTTGATTTTAAAGTCTTCTAATTTATTGTCTTCTCTGCAGAAACAGACCACGCTCCACAACCATACCAAACAAGTGGCAAAATAGTGATTTTCAGTAATTTGGAAAGCAGTCAAGATGACTTTTTTAAATAATGCTGATCAAGAACCAACGCGTACTTGTTGAATGCGGTTATGCGAAGCGCTGAGATTTGTGATTCTCTGTGCTCTCTGCCTACCTTAGTAAGTAACTATGTACATACCAGGTACTTGACCATGGTGTTCTTCAAAAAGATCTTCACAGTGGGCGTAAAATCCAACAACTGACGAACAGACTTCAAACCCAGTATATATACAGATTCTTAACCGGATAAAATCGCGGATGAACAAAGCGTGGAAGAAAAAGAAAACGTCTTGAGGGAAGGGCAAAATCCAGAAGGTGAAGGTTTTGTAAGTGGTTGCTCCGGAGATGAGCTGGATAATTTTCCCAAGCACAATCGGAATCACTGTTAGCGTCCATTGTGATTCCCCCTCTGCGGTAGAGTTTAAGTCTGGTCATGCTGTTATGAGACCGGCCTGGACACAACATGGACCCTGCAAACTCCGTTCACTCATAGCGTAATTTATATTGAAATATATTTGGCTGTTCTGACGTGTCTGACCTGGATAAAGTAGAATTTAGATTAATTATATTTTGTGACTGATATGAACTCTTATACCGCATCAGCACGGAATTTCCCGATAATCTGAATAACTACAAACTGAAGAAGGCCCTGTGTTTGTTTGGCTGTTAGACGGTAGTTAGTTAGTTAATCAGTTAATTAGTTATCTGTTGTTTTAACTTGGTATTCTTGATGTTACGGCCCGCATACAAACTGATTTCAGTCTTGCCCTACTCGTCTAGAAATGCGCCAAAATTCTAGTTGGGTATCCTCAAAGGATTAGACGACACGGAAGTCTGCGTATAGGTGGAAGGATTATATCAAGATAAATCTCAGTAAAACTGAATGGGAAGTATTTGGTTTGTGTGTTTGAGGATAGGGACTGGTTGGGGGCTGTTGTGAACACGGTAATTAGACTTTAGTTACGGCAAAATTCTGGGATTTCTTGACCAGCTTAGCATATTATTAGCTTGTCAAGAAAGACAAGAAAGACCCTGTTCCATGGAGTTAGTTAAGTTGTTTGTACACTGGTTGTGCATTTGGAGTCAACAACGTATTTCCTTGTACTATCTTTCCATCTACGCTTTATTTTCTCATTAAGGTTTCTTCGAACACCGTTGCTGGAAGGCGTCATACTTTGAATAGCTTGGACAGTAATCACTGCATGTTCGTCAGTCGACAACCTCAATGTGATTCCCCTCAGCCGTAGAATATTCATAAATGTCAAGGTCTTTCCAGGTGGAACGGAACGCGTTTCTGCTCCGCTCATCTTCGATAATTTTCTCGGTAGGACTGTGTTCTTTCCGACGACAACTTAAGGATGTGCTTTAATCGGAACGTAATAATATTTACTGTGATGTCTTTGAAACATTTACAAAGTAATCGAAATAAATGATAATGCCACTAATGGTTTTGAGAAGAACCATAAAGGTTTCCTGCACCATACCAAGTAGTGCCTTTAGGTTAATAAATAACTCACGGCGCAGGGCTTCAAATAATATAGCAAATTACGTGTTAATTTTCTTCACACCACGAGTTGTTTCAGAGATAATGATCATCAGTTACTACATTCGCGCCATTTGCGGCATTCTGTAAACTTTGTTAACTTTATTTTCTATCTCTTTCAATATTCTTTGTGGCAGCCTGAACTCCCATATCACCACTTGAACTCTGAAGTCATGTGTTAAATTCAATTCAATTCAATTCAATTAATTCATTTACGTGTTTGCCAACAGCAAGAAGCCAATAACAGGCAAACACTGATAATATATACAATAATAGTGAAATAATAATGGATAATATTACACAAACGGATTAACTAAACTTATACATGTACAGTATTAAATATAACAGCCAAATATATGCAAACCCAAAATAGAAACAATATTGTACCAAAAGAAAAATAAATGAAATATAAATAAAAACAAATAAATAAATAAATAAATAGTATATAACAGATATGTATTATGTGATCAGTATAGTTTAACTAATACCTTGACATACAATCTGATTATCCCAGATAATTTCATCTACATATCAAGTTAACCTTGTGAGATAAATGTCGGATATAATTTCCTATGTGAAAAAACGCATCGAGATGTCATCGTCTGGAATAAAGTGTTCTAAAATTTAAAGTAGATAGGATCAGTTCATATTTTCGGGGGATATTAAACTGGAAAAATCGGTAATTGCATAAACTGGCAAATTTTCTTTGAATATTTTCTAATTTATTAGAATCTGTCTGTGTAAGATTATTCCAAACGACCGAGGCATATTCAAGCTTTGACCTAATTAAAGCATTATATAAAACAACAAGGCTGTCTAGAGAGGAAAAATTATAAGTAATAAAACGAATAAGCCCTAAGGTCCTTAGTGCCTGGGAATGAACACAATTTACATGACAGTGAAAATACAGTTTACTGTCTAACAAAACACCAAATTGATTACCCCAATAATATAACTTTTCTTTAGTGATATGATGATAGAAATAAACAAGACAAGGCAAACAAGTTTGGAAATGCACACGTATCACAAGAATTCTGTCTCGTTTACCAACATATGAATTGTGATCTATTTGAATAGCATCAATGCCTTTGAATTATTTTGAGGTTAAAAACCTGTGTGACACGTCTGCTTCAGTGATGGTGTCATCATAGAGGGTTTCCCACGTATTTTCGCTGGTTTTAGGAAATTTCCCATTTGAGAATCCCTCTGGGAGATCCTTCACCCAATGAATCCACCTCACTCAAACGTAAATTGGTCTTCGTTTAAAGTGCCCGTTATTGTTGTCATATTTCAACCGAAGTTGGAATGTATCGACAAATTTTAGTATGACTCACAAGTATCGAATTTCGTGTAAACCCGTTCAGTCGTTCTTGATTTGTTAAAACCGTTCAGACTGGCGGGTAGATTGATTTTAACGGGCGCCCGTTAGAGTTGTGAACCCGCCTAAAATGTAAACTGTGTTTTTATACATCCAGTGACTAGATTTGGTTCTGAAATTGCATTTCTGCCTTCCATATTTTAGTTATAAATGTGTGGGAATATTAGAGGTTGAAAGTAATTTTCTAGAGAAGTTTATAGTAATCTCACAATTTAAATGTTGTTTTTATCTAATTGTTATAAACTTAACACGCCACGTAAAGTGACTAACAGATATCTTTAATTTTTTAGATCTTTAATGTCAGGGTTAGCTAATGGATGTCGTGTTTTCCGAAGGCCATGAAATGGAACAAAAGAAGAAGCTTATTTACAACGGAAAAATTTTAAATGACTCAGCAAGTATATGTCAGTGGTGTTATCAAAGATGCTCATATAAATCGTTTAGCACTACTTTTCCATCGCTTTGACTCTGAAGAAAGTAGCAGAAATTTGCTCAGAAACGTCGGTAATTTATCACTTAGAGTGAAATACACAGAAGTCTTAGCTTGGACGATCACTAACTCTATTACGAACAAACCTTACTGTGCAGATTCGGAATATCTTATACAGGCTAAGCTCAGTATTGCATCCTTTGTGTCAGTCACCAAAATGTCACCTTTAGCCCGATATTCCAAAAAATATAAAAATCAGTCACCCCCACTCCTTCTTGGTAGCTATAGAACAGATTGTCTACATTGTACATTGATGATTCTGTTGGACTTCACTTATCGTCTAGGTATATTTTACTTAGAACCACGGATTTCGGAAAGTTTGTTCTCTTCAGACGACCGGTGTGAGATAAGAATCGTAATTTTATAAAATATGTTTACATCTTCTGCATTCATTAAATGATGGTATCAGAAACGCATAAGAATAGACGCCCCATAAAATATATAAATTTACTCAGACTTGACGTCTTACAGCTTGAAAGGAATGAGATATAATAGAGTTGCCTTATTAAGAAATAAGTGTTACTTATTGAAACGTCGATTTATTGTCTAAAATTTTTAGTTACACTGCCTGTTGACTAGTGTCTTTGTGAGACATGTTTGAAGTGAATATAATCCAGTATCTTAATAATGATGCCCGTGGTGACCGCCGTGGCCTCCTCCGTGTCCACCGTGGCCTCCACCGTGTCCACCGTGGCTACCGTGGCTACCATGACCTCCATCAGGTTGTGGGATGGCCGCAGCGTGGCAGATAACCGCGACTAGAAGCATTAAAAACACCTGCAAGCAGAAGGACTGTATTTCAGCTGAAACGCTTTAATATTTTATGTACGTAACGTCCTTTTTATAAGTACTGGTTTAATTAATAGTGAAAGTAGTGAAACTGTATGACTTCTAGCTTTCGTATAGTCCTAATTCTATAATTGATAAGACACATTTGAAAGTTTAAGGAGTTTTTATTAAGTTTTAAACAAACTAGCTGCCACATAGGTATTTCTCACTGTACTTTCTCAGCCTGTAAAATTAAGTCCAGACAAAAGCATCAATGAAGAAATAATTCTGTTGCATGCATTCTTTCTATTATGAAGATTTTATATTAGACCTACAGCCTTTTCACTCAGAGTTTTCTCATGGTTTTCTCAGTAATAGTACCTCAAAATCACTTTTACTGTTTCACCGCTCGGTCATTCTGCCATTCGATGTTATCGTATGAAGTTAAATCGTCTTTAATTAAATTAAACAATAGATTTCGGACTTGGGTGCAATATGCAAGCAGAATTTTTAACTACAAATACTTCACAATTCAATTTGAATTACATTATTGATAATTTGACACAAAATGCGGGAATATTTTGTTACTGTTTTATAAACACGTTCTAGCTACTAATTTTTGGGTTCTGGCTGAAGAAATCTTAAGATATGGTGATAGCCAAACCATGTTTTTACCATAAATGCTGACTATATTTGACGGTATCACTCACAATAGAACTCTTGATTTTAGTAGTAATGTCTTAATGCTGCTATTCATTCCTAATGAGGTTATCTTTATTATTTCAGCTTTTTGTAAAACAAGTGTAGGCCGACCGCCGCCACAGGTTCACGAAATGAGTCTCTCATTAAGTTTTAAAACTTGTGCAAAAATCGCATTGTTCTGCAGCGTTATTTTATAAGCATGTAAGTTATAGATTCTTTGGAAATTTAACGACACTTTCGAATGGGAAAGATATATGGACTAGTATGGATGATATACAGAAGAAGTTCGAATTGAAGCTGTCTGTGGTATTGTAGCTGCATCAGCCTGGAAGGTCTGAGTAAAACTATGAACAATGTGAGGATCATTAGCGTCCCAATGGATATTCAAACAGAAAATTACCCATACAGAAGAGGCTAAATTTCCTGATTCTGTAAAGATTATTTAATCCTAAACTGTTAGTTGGAAGTGTTAACAACTAAACTGTAATGGTTTTACTGTACCTACCAAGTACTTGTACATTGCTGCTGTTTACTCGCGACCTGATCTTGACAGAGGACTTGAAACTTGTGAACTGACACATGAGTATCTCTACCAATTTATTTATATATGACGTACAATCGATGCCATAAAATGAGTAAAATGTGCAAAAGAAATGTAATCGAATCAAGGAGAGAAAAAAGAACGTGAAGGCTATTTCTGAAATAAATGGAACGCTCTTTGCATAATGGCAGCCGTTACTTCATCCTTATAATTTCACGGTATTGAAAGCGTATTATACCATTAAAATCGGATAAATTAAGTGAGACCCTTTCTATCGTTCACTTCGAGACGTTTTGTACTCCCATATACTATCTTAAACTTTAAGATGTAAATGTAAAAATATAATTGTATTTATTGCTTTGAGCAGGTGTAAAACTCGAATGGAAGATCAAAGAGTCAAGGCTATTTGAATATTTGGACCCAAGAGCGGAAAACAGTGGGACGGTAGAGAAAATTGCATGGTGAAGGGCTTCTAAGATGACTAAGTAACGTAGAATTGGGGTGGGCGGTACATGGGGAGATGAGAAATGCTTACAAGGGTTTGGTTGGAAACTCTCTCGGGATGAGACCACGTATCAGAAAAATGCAATGTGAGGGTACGGATTGGATAGAATTGGTTCAGGAGAGGTTCAATGGTTTTCTAAGATTCCTTAGGATTTCTTGACCAGCCGAGTAACTATCGGTGGCTTTTCAGGCAAGACTCTGCACTGTGATATTATCTGCTTATGCAATCACATTTGTATCGTGTGTGAGGTTTGTAGGATTTGTAACTTTTAAGTAGTATGCAGAGGTCAAGATATATTTAATCTACGCACTGCAGAAATACATCATAAATACCTACGATGCTTAACAATTTCCTCACAGCCGTTCCCCGTAAATTTCCACAGAAGCGTTGAAGGAGACTGGATTTTGTTGGCCCAGGACAGGGTCCGGTGGAGGGCTTTGGTTAATTCGGTGATGAACCTTCGGGTTCCCTAAACTAGTGGTATTCAACCTGGGGTACGCCAAGACATCTTAGGGGTACGAGAAATTTTAAAAAAAATTTTTTTATGACAAACACTGAATAATCAGGAGAACCGGACGTAAGGACATTCGATTTGGGAGCGCCATTTCTCTCTATCTCTCTTTATGTTATTCTTATCTGGGCGGCTAGTTTTATTTTATTCCACACAGTGCTTTGGAACCTGACTAAACACTATTGGCCGGGATTCAAACATATAATTTTCCTTTACTAAAATACCTTTGCTACTTTATTAATTTTTATATGATAGACAATAATATATTTGTTATTTAATAGCTTGATTTTCCTTTTCTCATTTAAAACTTATTATTTAATACATTATTTTGGATGTAATTTATTTCATTTATTTTAGATGTAGATTATATACTATGTATAACTTGAATTATACACCAATAACTTTGGGGGTACAAAGTTGAAGAGAAATTATATCTGGGTGTACGCGAACAAAAAAAGATTGAATACCACTGCCCTAAACATAAAAGAAGAAAGAGGCTGGAAATGTGTGTACTGACAATTTATTATTCCAACATTTTATAGTAAATGTTACAAAATATACACAGTATTATAAGAAATTGTATGCGATATGTTTCACTTTGCTTTGATTTGATTTTTGTCTTTATAATTAATTTTTCGTCATGGAATGTGTCACCCAAAAAGGTTGTCTGGTTGTTATGTATAAAAGGTCTAAAACTATGTCATCAATCAGTTATCTCATTTCTGTCCTTATTTACATTCTACGTAGATCACTGATGGTGATTTTATAAACGCAAATATGAAACTTATGAATGCTCAAGAATTCGTTACAAACAATTAAGAAGGAAATTAATGTGACAACAAAATGTTTACAAGGTCGTATACATACTACATTATCCAGTTCACTCAACGCAATGTCTTGTCTCTAATACGTATTTAAAAGATATTTATTCAGTAAATGGCCCTTTGCGAGTGTCAGTGAGGATACAGTTCTTTCTTATTCGTAAAAACGACGCGTTAAGCTGATGAGACGTTAAACCTGTTTGTGGGGAATCTTGGATTGTTGATAGTTACTAAAACTCATATTCAAATAGCTATAAATCACCAGATTTCCTTCACGCAGGATGAACAGAATTATGCTAATTCAAACTAAAACTGGCTTACGTCACCCATAACACAATTTCTTTCTATTGATGCTGGTTCGGAGCAAACAGCATCACGAAATGAAAATACAAGTTTTAGGAGATCGTCACTGTCTGTTTTGCTCAAGTGGATTAACCATGTTGCTGTTCTTAATAAATATGTATTCCATTCCATATAGCTAATGTTTAATTTTGCTGTGAAATAGATTACATCTGCTGACATCATTATACATTTCATTTCCATCACTTTAGTGTTGCTAGTATTTTTGTTCTTCTTAGCCAAAGTTTCACTTCCATTAAAAGGTACGGGAGTAGGCTCCAGGTCTTCAAAGGGCACTCGTGTCTTTCCTTTCTCGGTGTTTCGATGTTTTTTTCTCAATTTCACATATTCCTTAATAACCATACACTTTAATATTCACATCACAGTCGACTTCATATTAATATCAATTGCAGTTAAAATATAAAATCCATTCTGTAATTTAGTCAAAGAAAGTTTTGCAGCGGACTGGATATTTGTCTTTAAGGTATTACTCTTGATTTTAGATATAAAATTTTGTAGTGTGAAATTTCTTCTGTGGAGATATAGATTCAGACTTCTGAATGATATTTGATCATCTGGAAAGAATAAGTTATTTAGAAAAATATTACCATTCAAGCTAATGTGTGAATTGACTTGTCACAGGACTATGTCAAGAAATTTATTTGTGTGTTCGTAGCCATTTATCCAAATATTTATTGCAATACCGTTTGTTAGTACCTTATTTTTCTCACAAGAATGAACGAATTAAACGTTTAACCGTGGTGACTGTGATATTTATGTCCGCGATCGTATCCACGTCCTCCGTGATCATGTCCGTGATCATGTCCTCCGTGATCATGGCCACCATGATAATTATGTCCTCCACGGGCTGGCAAGGCCAAAGCACCGCAAAGCGCAGCTACAAGAAGCAGTAGAAATACCTAGAAGTAAAAGCACATGTTTACAGAAGGCCATGCCGAAGCAACAGATTTTAATAACATCAAATATTGCAACATTATTAAAGTCTAATTCTTTCCATGCCGGGTGCATTTAAACAAACTGTGCTACTATATTGGGATACTTCCGCGACAACGATATAACCCATTGGCTGTTATTAAAACATAATCCCAAATTCTCCAGTAATTTAAAAACATTATCGAATTACAGGTATTAAAACCAATTAAATGAATTATATGCAAATCGATATTCCATATACTTTCTAATATAGGAATTCCAAAATCATTACTTAGGCTTCAGAGTCGGCGCTTCTAACGTCTATTTTATGCTATTCTTTCATCTCCTTTTCGGTCTTCCAAACACGACAATCGCGTTTCTAGAACTCTCTCCACCAAAATCGTGTATCCAGTTATTGTGTTCATCATCCGAGTTGCACGTCTGTCCCTCCGTAAGCTTCTTCATTTTGGAACCCTAACAGTATTATTTTACTTGTAAGTAAATAAATAAAATCTGTCGAGCAGAGATTCTCTTGAAACGCTAATAGTCGCTTAGTTAGTAAAAAAGGACTTTTATGGGACTCAGAGTTTCAATATTGTGTTCAGAAGAGCCCACCATTCTAACTTGTTCCCTCTGTCAATCTCCTAGTCTAGTTTCTTTATTCTGGTTATATACAGCAACTATGTTGGAGAAACAGTTGTGGACAACCGAAAAATGGTATTTGTCTAGCTCATGACTTATAATGCTCTACCGTAAAAGATTTACCTTACGAATTAAAGAATTTAATAAAGCATTGACACTGGCCATATTCTTTGAATCGGCGTTTTGACGGCTAAATGTAAAATATCCATAGTTCGTTGTTTTAACAGTACACCATTGTCACAAACCTTCAGATTTATCAAAATTTAATTTTTATATTTATATTTATTGGAGAACAGAATTTAAGGAAATCTTTCATTTGTGTATTGTAACTGTTTAAAGATTGAAATGTGTTTGTAATTTTATTTAAACCAAAAATCATCCTTTTTCAGTGGTCCGATCTTTTTCATTGGCCACATCTGTTTGCCCCACTTTATTGTTCATGGCCATCCCTCTGTCACCATGCAACCAGCTGCAGAGTTCTTGATCGGGGACTTTCTAAAACACTATTAATCACTTGGTCCGTCAAGAAATTTGTACTTTTACTTAACTCGAAGATCTGTGTCTGTGTTCACAAAAGCCACGTATTGAGTCAATTGAATTAATTCTACAGCCTAACATGCTACGGAGTTTAGTTTTACAAACGAAATGCCTCACAAATTTTGCATTGAGTTAATAAGAGAAATATTCCTCAATAATTACTGCCGTCAGTGTTACTGATCTTGTTATAGTAATGCTGGGTTGTAATTCAATGTAATTTAATCTTAAAATCAATAATAGAGGATCATCAATAATACTACTCGATATACAATTAAATAGTAAGTACTAATAAACTGTTTTGTAACTCCGTGTACACTTGTAAGTAGACACCAACATTTCCGAGGAACATATTTCCACCATCTTCAGGGCTGAAGATGGAGGCACTATGTTCCTTCAGAATATGGGCCTGTAAATCAACGCAGTGTTACAACTCAGAATGCCTACATCGACACCTTGAACTCATATCTCATATTATTGATTCTATCCTCTGGTGTGAAAATTCTTCAATATTCCAGTAAGAAAAAGAAAGTTTTTGTGAAACTCAGAATGCTGTATATATAACACAATTGTGATGGAGTCGTTAAATAATGTGAGAAACAAATTCGCCCTTAAATAAAGAAACAAATGAAGTGTTTCTCAAAGCTGCTGTAGATTTGGAGTCTACTATGTACTTACTGTTGCTACTTTTTGTGTTTCTACTTACCAAATATTTGGCCATGGTAGTTTTGCTGTCGACAGTGGACTTTACAGTTGTTGAATGGTTAGTGGACAAGAGCATGTTCTGTTTATATATAGATTTCAGGAGCACATCTTGGTGGGAGAAACGAGGAAACAAAAGAACATACTCAAACGGTGACGAAATCACAGGTACTTGTTTGAGGATGGAAACCTTGAGTTAACACATATGTGCCAGAACCGTAACATATATGTTGTGTGATTCCCCCCGGCGGTTGTGTTTAAAAATATTAGGATTTCAGCTACTGCGACTTCCATTTGGCCATTTTCCAACATTCCTTGTTTTTCCATCCCAGCTACTCTCCAGACCAGCAAACCACGAAGAAACTGGATGCGCAGAGCTTGAGAAGCAGATTATTGCTCAGCCAGTAAATAAATTCCCCAACTTTTATGGAACTCAAAGGCTTATTAACCATGTTCACAGAAACTCGCCACCGATCCTATCCTGCTAGATAAACCTAATCCACACCCTCCAACTCTGTCCTTGTACGTTCTATTTTAATATTATCCTCTCATATACTCCTGGGTCTTTAGAGTGATCTCCCCCCTTTCAGTTTGTTTTTGATATGTTCATGAATTTTATGTTAATTACTTTATGGTATTTTAAGATCTGTTAATGAAAGTTTAAATGTGGATTGCTTATATATTTATCAGTCAGTCATTGTCTTGATAATAACGCATATGAGTTATATTAGAAAAGAAGCCAGTTCGAATCTCGGCCACATTCCTTATTTTCCTTCAGAATATGGGCCTGTAAATCAACGCAGTGTTACAACTCAGAATGCCTACATCGACACCTTGAACTCATATCTCATATTATTGATTCTATCCTCTGGTGTGAAAATTCTTCAATATTCCAGTAAGAAAAAGAAAGTTTTTGTGAAACTCAGAATGCTGTATATATAACACAATTGTGATGGAGTCGTTAAATAATGTGAGAAACAAATTCGCCCTTAAATAAAGAAACAAATGAAGTGTTTCTCAAAGCTGCTGTAGATTTGGAGTCTACTATGTACTTACTGTTGCTACTTTTTGTGTTTCTACTTACCAAATATTTGGCCATGGTAGTTTTGCTGTCGACAGTGGACTTTACAGTTGTTGAATGGTTAGTGGACAAGAGCATGTTCTGTTTATATATAGATTTCAGGAGCACATCTTGGTGGGAGAAACGAGGAAACAAAAGAACATACTCAAACGGTGACGAAATCACAGGTACTTGTTTGAGGATGGAAACCTTGAGTTAACACATATGTGCCAGAACCGTAACATATATGTTGTGTGATTCCCCCCGGCGGTTGTGTTTAAAAATATTAGGATTTCAGCTACTGCGACTTCCATTTGGCCATTTTCCAACATTCCTTGTTTTTCCATCCCAGCTACTCTCCAGACCAGCAAACCACGAAGAAACTGGATGCGCAGAGCTTGAGAAGCAGATTATTGCTCAGCCAGTAAATAAATTCCCCAACTTTTATGGAACTCAAAGGCTTATTAACCATGTTCACAGAAACTCGCCACCGATCCTATCCTGCTAGATAAACCTAATCCACACCCTCCAACTCTGTCCTTGTACGTTCTATTTTAATATTATCCTCTCATATACTCCTGGGTCTTTAGAGTGATCTCCCCCCTTTCAGTTTGTTTTTGATATGTTCATGAATTTTATGTTAATTACTTTATGGTATTTTAAGATCTGTTAATGAAAGTTTAAATGTGGATTGCTTATATATTTATCAGTCAGTCATTGTCTTGATAATAACGCATATGAGTTATATTAGAAAAGAAGCCAGTTCGAATCTCGGCCACATTCCTTATTCATTTTAGAGAGGAATCTAAATATTATCTTGCATAGGCCATTATCACTGCATCCCCCACTAAATTCTAATTTATTATTCATACTTGCAAATGACTGAGTAATTTCGCTTTAATCACATCCTTTGTGAAGGAAATGTTTTTTCAAAGTTTGTTCTGATTTTGTTTTGCTTCAGTTGTTTGATAAATTGTTAATCGCGCCAGATCACAGCAGTTGAATATACTCTAAAATCATAAATCTTAAAATCATCATGAAATTATAATAATCTTCAACCTTCAATCGTATGTTGATAAAGCGTCATTAAATAACTCAAGTGTGGATTACCACCTAACAAAATCAGAGGGTATACCACAAAGCTAATACATGAAATAGGGAGTTCGAAGAACTAAAGGAGTAGTTTAGTCGTTGGGTAGTGATTTTGAGTGAAGAGCCTAGGACTACTTTCCTACGATATGATGGACAAGGAGTCTGTAAGCTAGATAGTATCTAGACCAACATGTACAGTAGGTCTGAGTCATTTCCTTTTAATAGTTTTGAAAACAGGAAACCCCAAAGGGACTTGTCAAAATTTAAGATGTGTCATTGCTCCTGTGTTTAGCAAACTTTAACGGTACTGCAAAGCAGAAAAACCAACAAACTAAACGGCGAGTAACGAAGTTGTTGCCAATAATTTTGTCTGAACCTTCAGAGTCACCGACGAATGTCTTAAGCTTCAAAGATAGAATAAGAACATCCTGCAGACAATTGTGTGCCAAGGAGCTTTATAATTTATAGTCTTTACTATTTCTTTGGATCAGAGTCCTCTTAGAAGCTGACAACAGTCATTCAGTTAGCACAGAAATTACACGTATGTTATTAAGCCCGTGGGTTTATTACCATGTTTGAGGCATTTAAGGTCGGTATAGTAGTAGACTGCTCTTCGCTTAATATGTTGGGATTCCATAGGTCATCGCATTCCCCTTAGAAAATTCTGTTGCTAAATAATGATGTCATGTATTTTCTCAGTGTTTTTGTTCAGTGCTAGTTAAGCATTAATTTAGGGGGTTCATCAATGGCTGGAATAAATTTTGCGAACCATAACATTTATTATGAGAGACAAATCATTCGTATTAAGGAAGCTGTGGAAAAGAAACAGGACATATTGTTTTATCTGTATTCACTGCTGTAACGTAACAAAAAGTGACATTAATTTCGTTTTGTCCTGTGAGCCTCTCAGGAAATAAATGTGACAAGGAGCAACAAAGGAAATGGAGATTCGTCATAAACAATAAAAAAGCCTGTATTTCATATGCTCGTATTTATTTTAATTATAACTGCGGAAGGTAGGGTTAGATAGTGTTTTTAAGAAAATTGGAAGCTGGCGGTTTCAGACAAGAATACAAATTGCTGAATGAGTAACTTTTAAGCGTTGCATTGGTTCCAGCAGCAATTGCAGGACCTGAGACAGCTCTGTCCTAGTGATCTCGTTGCTGCCAGGAGACGGTCCAGATCTTATCAGTGAGAATGTGGGTGAGGGTGAGGGTGAGGGTGAGGATGGTCGTGGTCGTGAACGTGAACGTGTGTTCCGGTATGAACCTGTCCAGCTGCATGGTCTCTGTCGCTGGTGTGATCATGGCCCTGCTCATGGTGAGGCGTGGCAATGCAGAGACCCACCAGGCCGGCAGCGAACAGAATGACCTGTCGACACAAAACGCACTGTAATAAATCCAAGGTGCAGAGTTTCTTCTTAACAGTTTGCAGTTGCTCAGCTGGTGAAGAAATTATCCATGGGATTTCAGATTATTTCGGCGGCGAGTATGGGTTGTTCAGCTGTGTAGACTGGTGGATGTTTTCCGACGTTTCTTAGGTGCTTGCTCCCTTCATTATAAGGTCCCGTTGATGGAGCTTAACAACACAGGAGACAGCCGTCTCTATACTGGCCGCCGTGATAACATGAAACCCTGTAATGCTGTCCTTGTGCCTTGTAGCCATCACATGAGGACCTATAAGATGCGTGCAGGTGAAAACATGCACGAATTCTTAACCTCAGCTTTAGATCGTAAGTGAGTATTTATATTTGAACAGTTTTATACCAAGGCAAAAAGCTCTATTCATCAGTTGGAGAGGTGGCCCTCAGAACAATAAGTGTAACGCAAGAAACCAACGAAGAAAGATTAATTTTCTGTTAGGTTATAACGTATTTTTGCAGAAAAAGAAGTACACGAACGGTCCTTATAATACTCCATTCAAATCTAGCTTATGTAACATTCGATTGGAAGTAAAACCGACATTCTTAGCACTCCTTTGATAAAAATATGTGAGGCCGACTAGCGGTAATACAGCCCCATGCAAACTATATGCTGATTATCGATGTTATTCTGAGCTGTGATGCCGTGTAGACGTTTGGTTAATTTCCAACATTTTGGTGAAAAAATGTAAAGGTCTGAAGTTTTCATGCCGTGAGAACCTCAAATGGGTCTTTAGAGTGATCTCCCCCCTTTCAGTTTGTTTTTGATATGTTCATGAATTTTATGTTAATTACTTTATGGTATTTTAAGATCTGTTAATGAAAGTTTAAATGTGGATTGCTTATATATTTATCAGTCAGTCATTGTCTTGATAATAACGCATATGAGTTATATTAGAAAAGAAGCCAGTTCGAATCTCGGCCACATTCCTTATTCATTTTAGAGAGGAATCTAAATATTATCTTGCATAGGCCATTATCACTGCATCCCCCACTAAATTCTAATTTATTATTCATACTTGCAAATGACTGAGTAATTTCGCTTTAATCACATCCTTTGTGAAGGAAATGTTTTTTCAAAGTTTGTTCTGATTTTGTTTTGCTTCAGTTGTTTGATAAATTGTTAATCGCGCCAGATCACAGCAGTTGAATATACTCTAAAATCATAAATCTTAAAATCATCATGAAATTATAATAATCTTCAACCTTCAATCGTATGTTGATAAAGCGTCATTAAATAACTCAAGTGTGGATTACCACCTAACAAAATCAGAGGGTATACCACAAAGCTAATACATGAAATAGGGAGTTCGAAGAACTAAAGGAGTAGTTTAGTCGTTGGGTAGTGATTTTGAGTGAAGAGCCTAGGACTACTTTCCTACGATATGATGGACAAGGAGTCTGTAAGCTAGATAGTATCTAGACCAACATGTACAGTAGGTCTGAGTCATTTCCTTTTAATAGTTTTGAAAACAGGAAACCCCAAAGGGACTTGTCAAAATTTAAGATGTGTCATTGCTCCTGTGTTTAGCAAACTTTAACGGTACTGCAAAGCAGAAAAACCAACAAACTAAACGGCGAGTAAC